ATGTATATGTATACACTTCGCCAAATGTATCGATCAGTTCTTTTAAAACTGTTTTAGCTCAATGGTTAGTTTATAGGCCAATAAACCACCTTTTGTTGTTGTCATTTGGAACACATTTGCATTTTAACTTTGAATTTACATTTAATGGAATACAGTAATGAAAACTTGTTTAATTTTTTATGAAAACTTTATGATAATTTTATTAATTGACATGAAATTTTATATTTTATATGCAAAAAGAAAATTAAGCATTTTTAGGACCAACTTTAAAAAAATGTTTTATGGCGTTTGAGATTAAATATATTCCTGATGGCTTTATGAGATTCGCCTGGTAAATGTTTCTGACAACCTCAGAATCAGAGTTATTAGTTAACTAAAAACAAACCATAAAAAAAAACTTTTTAATGTTTATTTTTATTTTTATTGTTTTATTATTTTTTCATTTCTTAGTTATTTTATTTCAGCTAGTTACCAAAAGCAACATTTCTTGTTTTCATTTAGTTTAACTTTATATACTAAAATAACTAAAAGTGAAATACAAATGAGTGGGGTTTTTTCTTTGGAATAAAATATAAAAGATAAATGTTAATATTTGTTCCAATGAAAATAATAAGTCTTCATAATTATAATCCAATGATGTTACACTCTTTTCATTATCCAATAATTTTTCTCATCGAAACTTCTGGCATATGTTAGATAAGATTACGGAAGGATAGTAGGTCTGTTCGATGAATCAAGTTTTATTTTCCAACTAAACTAACACTGCTCTAGATGTAGTTTGAGCGACGTTCCAGAGCCCATTCACACCTGCATTCCTCGCTGAGCCATTGTGATCGGGTCAGCCGAGACGGGTGTTAATACCAGGTGTAAACACTGATCATTTGACAAGCCCATGGAAGTCTCCGGCAATCCAGCGACCCGCATTTGTCACGTTTGAATGACAATGGGGTCGGTTAAGTGTCCACCACATCATTTGGAGAGGGTTTAGGGGGGTCTGTTGTGTTTTAAAGAGCTCCCTTGTGACCCTCCTGTGGCCCGTATGCCAGTCCATCACCCCACCCATCATGCATCAGCTACATAATGGCCCTCAAGAGTGAGGAGATATACGCCAGCTCTGCCTTTGTGTTGTTAAGAGTGTTCGTGTCTGTTGAGTTTTATTGTCATGTGTTTTCTTTCTCCATGTTTTTCTTACTAATGAGCCACGTCTTCAGTTCAGCATCTCATCTCCAGTGCCAGAGGGGGCTTTTGTCTACGCCGATAAATAATGCAGGATTTGGTCTGTGATGGACGTCCTGACGGAAGCTTTTGTAGTTTTATATCCAACACGGGACATTTATGTGTAATTGGGCTGCTCAGACTGGCTGGGACAGACACGCTTGTGGACGCTTTTGATTACAAGCTTTAAAGTTTTATCAACTGGATGCAATATCTTTCAATTTATATTCATAACAGGGGCTTGTTTTATTACATTATTCCCAAAACATTCAAATGTACAGACATTGACTTAAATATTATTGAATATTGAATATTATTTTCAGAGTTATTATAGTTAACTAAAACAAAAAACATTAAAAAAACATTTTTGTTACTTGAAATAAAAATCTTAAACATATTCATTTCTTATTTCTTGATGTACAATAACCAAGTGTAGGCCTTTGTATTAAAATAACTAAAACTAAAAAAAAAATATTAAAAACTCTAAAGAGATTTAAAATTACAATAACACATTTTTGTGTAATTTTCACACAAAAATTGAAAAATACTAACCAATTGAAAAAATAACAAAACTATAATAGTATCTCAATGATTCTAAAATATATATAGGCTATATTTATTAAACATAAACAGTTCCTCTTTGGGGATTCCCCCTTTGGAATAATGTATAGATTGTTTTAGCCATAATCAAGCAGTCCTGAACACCATTTAAGGTTTGGTTTACACGCAAACTGTACCAAACAACACATGCAGCTTTAAACATTAAACAGTTTGTGAATCATTTCCCTTCCATTATCTAACACATTTCAGGATATTCAACCAGAAACGAGGCCTTGTATGGTTGTGTTCCTACTTTGCGTGAAGTCTTCAGTAGATCATAGCTTAGATGCAGCTTGACAGAAAACATCTGGTTTCTCTTTGGCCTTGTTGGTCGTCTGTTTGCACCACCCCTGTGGCAGACGACCTGCCCACCAGCTTCACTGAAGCCATTGAGATGAGAGGAGGATTAGCAGGGGTTAATTACAAGCCGTCGCGAGCCGAGCCGCTGCTATTACCAGCGCAGTTCAGCCCTCAGAAGAGAGAGGAGCACAGACAGTTTCATGTCACTAATTTGCCTCCATAGAGAGAGTAATAGAGGCCATTGTAAAGGAGCAGACGCTCTGGGTGATGATGGTGTGAACTGTAATGTTTCGACCTTCAGTGCTAAACAGAAACTTTTCTTTAAATGTTCAAAATCCTGCAGCTTACTGTATGTTTTTAGGTGAGTTATGAGCTTGAACAAATAGGCTGATTGATGTGATTCTTTCAATTGAATCAATTGAACTGATTCATATTGGATCAATCGCAGGACAGGAGTCATCTGTGTGAATCAGTCACCTCTCATTTCTTCTTTGAATCAGCTCACATGACTCGCTGAACCTATTACATATCGGCAGAGAAGAGTTTTGTTATAGTACACTCTAAAAAATGCTGTTGTTTCAACCCAACTTTGGGTCAAATATGGACAAACCCAATGGCTGGGTAACATTTTTAAATTCAATTTAAACATTTTTAAATTAAATTTTTAACCCAACTTTTGGGTTTGTCCATATTTGACTCAAAATTGTGTTAAAACAACCCAGTGTTTTTTAGTGTAAGTGCATTTTAATTTACATAATAAAAATAATAAGTGTATTGTTTAGAAAGTTGTTAGGTCCTGTTTTTGGGGATGTTTGGTGCCTGAAGGGGAATTTACCAGCTATTTATTCTATCAGTCAGTAAATCTCTCAGAGCATGTTTTAATGTAAGCCTCTGCTCTGCTATTATTAGCCCCGTTTCCATCCTAAACACGACGATCCAGGATTCAAATAGCTTTAACGCTGGTTTGGAAAGATCTATATTAATGATGTAATGCATCTACAAGCCAATAATGGCCTTGAGTGCAGAGTGATGTAGATACGACTAATAATAGTGTGTGATAGTTATGAAACACACTACTGTGTGTAGTAGTTTGTGCAGCATTTTTCAATTACATTCACCTGACTATTAATCGTGCGCAACTCACAATGGGCTGAGCAAAATATTTAAAATTCACAATGTATCTCATAATCTTTTGGCTTGCAAGTATGACTCTTTTAAATTTCAGCAAGAACAGTAAAGTTAGTAAGTTATATTAATTTCCATGAATTGGTTTTAATGATTTAGTTCAAAACTTTGTTTCAGTGATTCATTTGAATCAACACTTAAACATTTTCACGGTTGTCACAGTATTAGGAGTTATTTTTCTCTATATAAAATGGAAGATATTGCTGTTTATTATTATGGATTGCATATAAATGAAAAGTTATTTTAGTTATTTTTGTAAAAACTTTTTTTTGCGTTAAACATTTTGTGTCTAATTGACTTGATGGTTCATCTAATAAAATCAGTTTTAAGCCATTTCAGAGCAAATATATATTTGAATATCATAAAATCATAAGGGTGAAAAATATTGAGGCTGTTGTAGCCGTATTTCTCAGCCCAACTGGCTAAACAAGTGGCGTTTTCTGAGTTTGGACACCCTGTTGCTCACCACTTTCTGAAAGTCCCTGAATCCAGATCCATCTCATGCTCAACACCTGTTCAGAATTCTTTCCCGGAACTTTCCCAAACAATGGCCGCTTTTCCCGGGACTGTCTGACATCTGGAAAATGTTGCAGTTCCCCTTTTGACTGGATTTATAGCGAAGGGCTTCAGGGGGGGGGTTCGAGGTACATGAGAGGTGCTATATTTATAGGGTAGAAAGTCATCTTAAGTGCATGAGCTCTCTTTTATCTTAGGGATTTTTTCTCCTTTGTAGTGGATTTGCTTTTTTTTTTCACCACTAAGTCTGAATACTGAAAAAAGTAGAGCTCGCAATTTAACAGCGCACACCTGTTTTTAGTTGCAGTAAATGACTACTCTTCATAGTGAAACTGGCAAACAAAGAGAGAGTTCTGCAGTTCTTCCTGTTTACTAGGTCACAGGGACATATTCACTTGAAAATGCTGTTTTTTTCCCCCTCCAAGGGTGTACAAAAATAGCACTTTGATGCATCATGTTTTGAATGTCTTCCCTTTCAGAACCAACCATGCCATCAAAATTGTTTTAAGCTAAAATTCTGGCTTTGCAATCATATTCTGCTGTTCTATTAGTAAGCAGTAAATCCATGCAGAGTTTTGTAGAGTTGTAAAAGCCACTGCAGTGTGTTCAAAATTAAATACAGTAAGTGGTCCCACTACGTCTTTAAAGGAAATGTGGGGTCTACAAAATATGTAAGCAGTCATGCATTATTTAGCAAAGCCCTTAAGGAATGCAAATGTGGCATGTGGGTTAAGCTAATGCTGATGGTGAAGGCCATTACCTCTGCAGTCTGTATGCACATGGTCACAGTTTCCTTTAATAGACTTTCTAAATGCATCTGAGGGTAAATGGGTAAAATTCCACTAGCAAAATTATAATGTCAATCCAGACTTCACTGTGTATGTCATGCGTTATGCATATTCATTCAGAGCTAAATACGCTAAATTTGTGCATGACAGCACATTTGTACGAGTGAATGGTTATTTAGGACTAGTTCAAGCATTGGGAAGTCAACTCAGTCCATGCATGAGCTAATGGCACTGCCTGTGGCCCCAGACATGCATTTCTGCCAACTGCATCGGATCACAAAAAGCTACAGGGACTTCTATCCACACTGCCATATGGCCTACGCCTTGGGAGATTAGATCTCCCTTGAGAAATGCTAAAAAGACTGAACTGTGTCTCTACCGTTTTTGTTTTCACAGGGCTCCAGGTATAGAGGGAGAAGCACAGGACCTCTGTCTATCAAATTCTGAAGTGCCCCGGTGCCAGCTGTATAGGTCAACCCAACCGGAACATTGCAGGACAATAGGAGCCCAACCCAAAGACCTTAGACGGCTATCAAAAAGCAAATAATCAAGCTCATTAGCTCTCTTCCCCCAAGACGACCTTTTCTGAAAGGATCAACAGAAGAGAGGAAGTTAAAGAGGACCAAACAAGAGGGGGGAAGCGAACATCGACGGCTATTTCTGATACTCTGTGGTGAAGGGAACATCTCATTTGAGATTTTGGACTGCAGAAAAAGGATTTCCTCATGCCAATGCCTGTGTAAATACTGCATGGAGATTTGTCCCTTTTCCAAAAACTCCCAGTAAAGACACTAAATATAGCGAAAGCCCAACAGCCAACTCTGACTGATTTTCAAAATGCCGAAAAATCTACATTCATAGGGATCCTATAAATGGATCAAAATCCTGCTACTGTTCTGAGACACGTCAGATCTTTAAGAAGCATTGAAACTGTAGTTTCCAAGAGGGTTTCCTTCTCTTTGTAGGGCAAAGCAATTGCTTTGTCCTTTCTTTTTGGATGCATTTTTCCATAACTCTAAAATGAAGCCCTTAACTCCCGTTGGTTCACCTTCTCCGCTGCGGCTCCTAAACAAGGGGCCAGATTACCTTCGCAGGCAGATGGATGCCGGAAGCAGGGGCAGGTCCATTAGCGCTGTAGAGCGGCTGGAAGCAGACAAGGCAAAGTACGTCAAGAGTCAACAGGTCATAAACACCAAGCAGGAGCCCGTATTAGTGCCCTGTGCAACCCCTCCACCGGTGCCCCGTCGAAACTTCACTGTGTCCACTCCTTCAACTCCCGTTCTCCCACCTCGAAATCAAATGGCGCCTTTCTCGGCACCGCAGTTCGTGAGGGATGAAAATGAGGATGACTCCAGGAAAGAGAACTGTCAGAATGAAACTGATGTGGAAACCAACAATCGCAACAATGCAAATAAGCCTCCTGTACCTTCCCCAAGAACTCCAATCATTGCTCCATTAGTCGCCCCACATAGTGCTCCAATAATGCGCAGGAGTAACGGCAAGCGCATGCTGCGTCCAGACTCCCTGGTCATTTACAGACAGAAGAAAGAGTGCAGGAGTCCCAGCAGTGGTGGCGAAAACGGCAACACCAATGTGGAGGTCAAGGGCTACAGTTTCGTGCGACGGCTCTTCCAGGGATCCATGCGTGAAAAGAACAGCCGGAACGAGGCTCAAAAATTGGTGATAAATGAGGAGAAGGCGTCTTCCTCTCGAGACGGGGATTCGCGAATGTCCTGGTCCAATGACAAAGTCACTATCGACGGTGGAAACGAGACCAGACGATCGAGCAAATCTGAGCAAGAGCACTCGACGCCAGAGACACAAAACAACAACACTGGTTTTCAAGAGAAGCTATCTAAGATCAACAGTATACGAAACAGCATGGGCAACTCCAACAATAACGACATGGATCCATGGAAGCCCGTCATTCCTCGGATACGGGCCGATTTGAAACGGTCCAAGTCAGAATTACGACTACGCTGCTCGCTAGCCATGTCCGAGCAGGAACGCTTCTTCGACTACTGTGGATTGGACTTCGATATGGTGGAGAGGCTCGGTCCGAAGAACTTTCTAAAAGGGGCCAGTTCAATCGACACGCTCTCGCTGCTACTGAGGAGCGTCGGAGGCGGCGGCGGCTCGGAGCCCAGTGAGTTTTCCCGACACTCCGGGGAAGGAGGAACTGGCCTCCTTTTCCAGGAGGAACTGGCCGAGCAGATCCCTACAGGTGTCTCAATTATTGAGAGAAATGCACGGGTCATAAAGTGGCTCTACGGCTGCAGGAACGCAGCCCAAGAGGGTCCTAAAGAGTCTACTGTTTGATTATCACGGTAACTGAACTGAAACTTTTGGAGCCGTGTTCCAATACGGAAAACTGTGCTGTATTTATTTCATGTGGGACATTTGTATTTAAGAGATGTGTTTTGCTTTTCACAGCCAGTATGAGAACATTTATATTACTTTGTGTCAGTCACACATGAAGCTGCAAACCGACACTTCTTGTCACGACTTACACTGTGGCTATGTCCGAAATCGCCCCCTTATACCCTCATTCACTATTCCATACATTAGTTTACTAATATAGTCCACTTAAAGGGATTAAATGAAAACAAGTAAACAAATTTTGCAGTGGACGCCAACTTCCGGCAAGACTCTCACTCTCACATTGCATGGCTTTTCTCTAGCTGTTGAGTGCATTGTGGGATTAAATGAGTACACTCAATAATGTCCACTATGGTTTCTGATATTTTAGTGCACTGTATAAGGGTATAGGGGCGATAGTGATGCCATCTCTTGTTCTGTGTATATAGAAAGACATGAATCCGTCCTGTTACTTCAGTTCAGAAACAATTATTTGTTGAGCGTAACTTAAAGAATATGTCATCTGATGAATAATTTAACATCGAAAACCACTAAGCTTTTTTCTGGGGCTGGGAAACCCAATGCATGAGTGTTAAATTAACCATGTGTACCTCATTTCCCAAATGTCCCAGTTTAGTTTTTGTGTTGCAGTTTTTCCTTTAACGCAGGCGTTGGAACAAACACACAGAGCACCCCTGTGGGGATATTAATGCACTGATTTGGAGAAAGAGAGACGGAGCGAGAGCTATATATACTGCTATGATACGTATTTTTAACACTGTCTGTGTGTGTGTGCAAATAAATATGCAGGGCCTTAAAAACAACCTGATTTAAAGTTTCATTAACTTGTGCCAAAGAAATGTGCTGTGAACTGATGTACGATATGTTTCCAAACCTTATTCAAGCTGCTTAGAGAGAATCATGCTCACAGAGTTTGACATGTTGCTAATCTAAAGAGTTAGAAAATACTGAGTGAAATGGCATATTTTTTATCAATAATTTTCAGTACAGAACACTATATATTTAGATTAGATTAGATTTCCCTCTGCTCTAATCCAAATGCAATTGCCCTATTTGGGAAGGATGCATGTTGCGGTAATTAGATTTAATAAAATAAAATCTTGCGGTAATAAAACTCAGTATTTCACAAAGCGTTGTCTTTTTGCTCTAAACAGCAAGGTAGCTCCAAATATTCATTATGAAGGGAGACCTAAAAATAAAAGTTTAAAAATCAGGCATTGAAAAACTGCCAATCTCTATGTAAGCAGCTCACTAGGGTTTTGAACGGCCATTATTTTGCTCCTAAATTGCTCAATTTCATTCCCGTGTTTGGTAAATATCGGTGTTTTACTTTGATAACTGTGATGATAAATCATGGTTGGTTGCACATTTGACTCAAGGAAAACCATATTTTTTATGCAAATGACTGTTCCTGTGGCAATGCAGTCTTCAGCATGCACTTTGTCACGCTGCTTTGGTGTTAAACTCACAAAAGTTCAGTAAAGCAAAGCAGAGGAAGACATGACAGCAAGAGATCAGACGGGCGGACTTTCACTCCCAGTGTGGGAGATGCTGATGTGTTCTCATATTGACGGAGACCTTTGAACACGCCTCCCCATCTAAACATCAATCAGACACTGATTCTCCTTTGTGGTAATGAATCAGTCTCTATGAGACCACTGATAAATGAAGCAAAGGTCCGCTGAGGCATGCACAGGTCAGACTGCGGCCCGCAGAGGAACAACTGTGATCTTTCCTTTCAGAATTCCTACACTTTTTCATCCCCAACGTCCAAGAAGCGTTCAGTGTTCCCGAGCACCCGAAATCTCTCTCTTGCATGTATGTTTACACCTCATGTAAGTTTGTATATGTGTCTATAAAGAAGAATTTAGATTTCAACCCAAAGAGATATTACAGATAAAATTCAAATAAAGTCCTATTTCTGAATGACTGCAGCTGGTTGTGTTTTGTGTTAGATAATTATGTTGTATGCTGGGTAAACCTGAAAAAAAATCTGGGAAGTCTAAATGTCTACATAAAATATGAATGTTTGTAATATTTTTTTTAATATTTTTAAGTAGTCTCTTATGCTTAATGCTTAATATTGTAAAATATTATTACTATTTAAAATAACTGTTCTATTTGAACATGTTTTAAAATGTAATTTATTCCTGTTATCAAAGCTGCATTTTCAGCATCATTACTCCAGTCTTCAGTGTCACATGGTCTGCAGAAATCATTCTAATATGCGGAGTTTGCTGCTCAAGAAACATTTCTGATTATCAATGCTGAAAACGTATATATTTGTGAGCACCGTGATACATTTTTTTCAGGATTCTCTGATGAATATATGGTTTAAAAGAACAGCGTTGAATTAAAAATGTTTTTTTTTTTTTCAACATGACATTTTTTATTGTCGCTTTTCGATCAATTTAAAATGATTATTGACCTCAGACTTTGAATGGTCGTGTACACAGCAAAATCTGTAGTGTTAATTTGAGTTAAATTCCCAGTGTAAATTATTCCGAGTGAATGGGTGTTGATTTGTGAGTTATTTTAACACTTGCAGTGCTGAAAAAGCTCTGTGGGGGGCGTCATTTTAAGGAGTCAGGAGTATACACTAATTTTGAGTTACTTTCCACATCCGGGTTTTTCGCGCTCATTGACGAGCGGGAGAATCACTCGTCTCTTCACTTACCGATTGGGATATTCGGCTTAAAAGGTAAGAACCACATTTATCAACTTATAAAGGCTGTTAACGTTAGTCGCTATTTAAACCATGTTTTAACGTTTAGTGGAGTGTGATGCAGTCGATTTGCAAACGTGTGGATTAAGTTAACGTGTGGTGGGGGTCGTCGTCGGTTTTTTTGTTTTTATTATTTAAATTAACGTTAGTTGATGGTTGAGAGAGGACATTTCTGTTAGGAATATTCGGTTAGAAGGGTGAGAACCACATTTATCAACTTATAGAATGTTAGTCTTAACGTTTGCAAATCGACAGTCAAATTAGGCTAGTTCAGCAACTGAAAAACTGTAAAATTACGCCAGCGCGTTTTAATATAACGCTAACAACATGTGCATAACAGTGTTTGTAACGTTACATTTAAGAAAACCACTGAATGGTCAGTGTTTCCTTTAGTAACGTTTAATTTTATGTGGCGTCGTCGCATGTCTGCGTGCAGGGATAATTCAAATTTTTCGTCGGCGCCAACGTTATTTGAGGTTCAGATTTAACTGTTTTTTTAATTGCAATAAACTGATAAAACTAAGCCGAAATACAAACATCGTGATGACGATTTGTAAAACGTTTGAATTCATACTACGGTAGCCTATATCAGGTCCATCCGCAAGACGACAAGCAAACAACTTTTAAAATGTTTGTTCTCTAAATAGAGTTTTGGGCTATGGTGGATGCATGCAAGTGGTATGAACCCAAAATAAACTAATTCTGCCGTGATATACTTTCTTAAATGGGTAAAACGTATGCCGAAGCCGCAACATCATGATCCATATGAAAAAGAAAATCAGGTCTGTTCGCAAAATGACAAGCAAACAACTTTTAATACTGCTTGGTTTCTGACTGAAGTTCAAAAAAGTTGCCAGGGCATCATGTTTCAAACCAGAATATTTTTTTTAATATGTTTCACTGCTTATTAGCACTTTTCACTGCTTGTTTGCCACTTAAACATAAGCTAACATACCGGTATATCCTTGCAGTTAAGATTGAACCACTTCTCACTTTTTCTCCACTAGGTGCAGTTTCAGGATGTTACCATGTTGCTGAAGGTGAAATACCGTAGTGTCAAGAAGTAGGCTACATCAAATTGCACTCAGGCTTCACCTATTCAGAATTCACCAGGGAAGGTAAATAGCCATCCTTTAAAGGCCAAACAAAATATGTAGCCACTTTTGCAACAAATCACAGTACATGATTGTCTGTGGCTGACCTATTTAAATACTTTTGGCTGTATTTAACAGTTTATTAAAATGTTGTCATTTTATTTTAATTGCAGGGCTTTACTTTTAATGACAGTTCATAGTGTAATCATCAACATTAGTTAGTACATGGCAGTATACTTTGGCTGCAGATTCTTTAACATTTACAAGTCAAGAAAATAGTTAAGTAGGATGATTTAAAACTAGCTCCAGGTGACTTTATCTTGTTACACTCTCTCTTTTTATAGTCAAAAACAAGTTTGAGCTTCCTGATGAGGCTTAACTTGACATTTTTGATGAAACTGAGACAGCAGTAGAGGAAGACATTCTTCTAGAGCTGTTGGAGGCCGATTCAGACATGTGCCTGACAGTACGTCAGTACAGCATTTCAGATGAAGGTAGGTGTCATTAAGAAAACCTGTGTTTATGGATGGGGCTCTTTGATGCAGCTGACATTGACCTTTCTTTATGGAACGAACAAGGCAGTGGGCAATGATGGAACAAGTTTGTTACTGATTACTAAAAATATCATCCAAATACTTTAGGGTAACTTAAAATGTTTATACTAAAATTGGTAAAGCCACAAAAAGTTAAGTTAATCAAATTCTCTCTTTTTAAAGAATTTTCTCCTTTACCACCATCTTCAACACCATCTTCCCTCACGGATACCACATCCCTTTCTTCAAGTGACAGTGACCTTAGAGAACTGAGTATTCCCAAAACAAGCAGAAATGTATCCAGCAAAGAACACATGAGCAGTTCTGCAACAAAGGCTTCCGTGTCAGAGGCGGCAAAGGAGGTAATTGAGAGCTGAAAACTTCTTATAATTGATGGTAAATCAAATTAAGGTGTCATGCTAAATTAAGATTATCAACAATTGAAGCATTTGGTTCCAAACTCTTTATCAAAGAAAATGTTATTACTTTGCCCCTTCCTAGATTTTTACCATACAGACATGTTGTGCTATGTTTTTTCTGATTTTATTTAATAGAAAGAATTGAACAATAAAACTTAAATTTCATTTTCCTGTTATGTGAGTAGATGGTAGAAAAGGCCTTGCTTAAGAAGCCTGGAGGAGAGGATATTCTTGAAGAGTACAAGTCAGAAAATTCACTAATGCACCGCACTCGGAGACAGCTTGTCAACCTATTGCCGAGTGATATGACTGAGAGACATGGGTAAGATTTAAAAAGGTTTTTATTACAAAGGAATTTAAAAAAAGGATGTAATCTTGTAATAATATAACTAATGTTTATTGTACTATATAAAGAGGAATTATTAAAGATTGACTTTCTTCACTCTATAGCAGGTTTCCTTCCCGTCAGCAGAAGTATGCCCTGGGAATTATTACTCTCTTTCCCTCACTGAAGGATCCTTTTTCTCCAAATGGCTAT